GGTGACTTGAAAATGTTATCTGCCAAATGCATGGTGAAAGGAATACCTCCTATCAATCAGCCCAATCAAGTATGTGAAGGATGCTTACTTGGGAAGCATTCGAGGAGTGGTTTCCCAAAAGAAGCAACATCAAGAGCTAAGGAGCCTTTAGAACTCATCCATACAGACTTGTGTGGTCCTATCTCTCCGCCATCCCATGGTAAGAACACCTACTTCATTCTATTTATTGATGATTTCTCTCGAAAGACTTGGGTGTATTTTTTGAAGGAGAAATCACAATCCTTTGATGCCTTTAAGACATTTAAGGCTGTGGTGGAGAGGGAGAAAGGCTTGAAAATCAAAGCCTTAAAGTCTGATAGAGGTGGAGAATTCACATCAAGTGAATTCACCAAATTCTGTGAAGAACATGGGATTAGACGATTCCTTACTGCTCCTTACTCTCCGCAACAAAATGGAGTTGCTGAAAGGAAGAATAGAACCATTCTCAATATGGTTCGTAGCATGCTAAAGAGCAAGAAGATGCCAAAGGAGTTATGGGCTGAAGCAGTTGATTGTGCAAGATACCTACTAAATCGATGTCCCACGAAGAGTCTAGAAGACAAGACTCCACAAGAAGCATGGAATGGGACAAAGCCCACAGAAATCACCTACGAGTATTTGGGAGTATAGCATATGCCCATGTACCAAGCCAAAAGCGGTCCAAACTTGATGATCGAAGCGAGAAGCATGTCTTTGTTGGCTATGACAAAAATGAAGGTTATAAGCTCTACAATCCAGTCACGAACAAAGTTATTGTGAGTAGAGATGTAGAGTTTGATGAAAAAGGAACACTGAACTGGAATATTGAAGGTGACGAAAGCTACGACTTCCTTCCAGTCATCCATGAATACGATGATGACAGTAGTGATGCAGGTGAAGATACTCAGCAACCTCAAAGTCCACATTCACCTTTGAATGAAGAGTCACAAAGGACGAGAAGCCTACAAGAGATCTATGAGGAAACAGAACGCGTAGAGGCTCTCACACTCTTTCGCCTTTTTGCCGATTGTGAACCTCTAGGTTACGAAGAGGCAGCAAGGAACGAGAAGTGGAGACACGCTATGGATGAGGAAATAAGATCCATAGAAAAGAATCAAACTTGGGAGCTAGCCTCTCTTCCAAAAGGCCACAAACCAATTGGAGTAAAGTGGGTGTTCAAAGCAAAGAAGAACGCTAAAGGAGAAGTTGAGAAGTACAAAGCAAGACTTGTCGCCAAAGGCTACAAGCAGAGACATGGCATTGACTACGAAGAGGTATTTGCTCCTGTTGCTCGCTTGGAGACTATCAGGTTAGTAATTTCTATCGCTGCCCAAAATAGATGGAAAATCCATCAAATGGACGTAAAGTCTGCATTCTTAAATGGCTTTCTTGAAGAAGAAATATATGTGGAGCAGAGAAGGATATGTGGTCAAAGGCGATGAGAATAAAGTTCTCGAGCTAAGGAAGGCTTTATATGGTTTGAAACAAGCACCAAGAGCCGGAATACAAGAATTGATCACTATTTTCAGGAAAATGGTTTCAAGAAATGTCCAAGTGAACATGCACTCTATGTGAAGTTTTCGGGCAATAGAGATATGTTGCTTGTTTGTTTGTACGTGGATGATCTCATCTTCACGGAAATTTGCCTAGCATGATCAAAGATTTCAAGAAGGCAATGACTAAAGAGTTTGAGATGATGATATAGGACTTATGTCCTATTATCTTGGCATCGAGGTCAAGCAATTGGATGATGGAATCTTCATCTCTCAACAAAGATACGCTAAGGAAGTTCTTAAGAAATTTGGCATGGAGAAGTGCAAGCCAATAGCCACCCCCATTGAATATGGAGCAAAGCTCTCAAAAGATGATGAAGGAGATGTTGTAGATCCAACTCACTTCAAGAGCCTTGTTGGAAGCCTACGTTATTTAACATGCACAAGGCCTGATATTCTCTTTGCTGTGGGACTTATCAGTCGATTTATGGAAGCACCTACTACGACACACTTGAAAGCTGCCAAGAGGATACGTCGCTACATCAAAGGTACTATTGATCTTGGCTTGTTATATTCCTCATGTGATGACTTCAAGCTTGTGGGATTCAGTGATAGTGACTGGTCTGGAGACTTGAGCGAATGGAAAAGTACTACTGGATTCGCATTCTTCCTTGGCAACACTGCCTTTACATGGGTTTCTAAGAAACAACCTATAGTCACCTTGTCATCATGCGAGGCCGAGTACGTAGCAGCAGTATCATGTGTATGTCATGCTATCTGGCTCAGGAGCATGTTGAAGGAGTTAAGTATGCCACAAGGAGAAGCGACAGAGATATATGTTGACAACAAGTCAGCCATCGATCTGGCAAAGAATCCAGTCTACCATGATCGAAGCAAGCATATTGATACAAGGTACCACTTCATAAGGGAATGTGTGGCCAAGAGGATCGTTGAGTTGAAGCATACAAGATCACGTGATCAAGTTGCGATATTTTCACCAAACCACTCAAAGGAGAAGACTTTGCAAGATTGAGGATGATGCTTGGAGTCACCAAATCAAGTTTAAAGGGGGGTGTTAGTAAGTAAACTTAATTTGGTCCAATTAATATTGGGTTGTCCAAAATTATTAACTTGGACCATGAATCTTTATGTTTAATCCTAAGCCCAAGTCCAATGAAGAATTGTCTAGATAAGAAGATATCTAGAAGTAGAAAGTTCTAGAAATGTTCTACATAAATATCAAGAGTATGTAGAATAATTCATGGAAAATATCTAGAAGAAATATCTAGATATTAGTAAGGAAAAGTCTAGATATTAGAATAAAATATGTAGATATTTAGAAGGAGTAGAAACATCTTGAAAGAGTGTAGAACCTTCCATGCACTCCTATAAATAGGAGTTAACCCCCTAATGTAAGTATGTGTAGAGAGTTGTGAGAAACCTTAAACTAAAAGCTTAACACACTCCACCTTGTTTCCTTTTACTACAAAGTAGTAAAGCTCCCTTTCTCCCAAAATTTCCTTCTCTTCCATTTTCACTTCCTAAACCTATCACTTAAAAGATCTCTTCCTTATAACCCAAAGGGTTCTTTTGCTAACAAAAGGCTTGTTATTTTATTGAGTCCTTGTTGTTGTTGTTTGAATACGGATAAATTTTCAATCATGTTAAACAACTAGTCATTAGTTTGAGGGACATTTAAATCTGGTTGCTTCTTTAGTTTATAGTTACTGCTGTTGGTGTTTTCGATTTAACTGTGTTTAACAGAAATTTGGTGACTCTCTCGGGGATGTATAATCGTTTTTATCTTGAATCTTGCTTGTTATCATTTGTGATGTGTAGTAAATTGGATATTAGGATCAAGATATCCTTTCAATTCCAGTGTTTTTTGTTGTTTTTGCCATAGAGTTTAACTATGGATACTTTTTCAATCTTGTTCTTTATACAAAAATGAAGAGTGCTTGGGAGTAGGACTTCTAAATCTGATGATGCTGCTGGTTTATAGTTTGACTGCAGCTGCACCCGCTCAACCTGCCCCACATTCTGGAACAGGAACTACGACCGTAATTAGGGGTGCTTGACTTTTGGGTAGGCCAAACCAAAAAATGTGGAACAAAAAATGTGTAGGGTTATTTTTGTGGACAAATATAATGTTTTCGCGCTTTGAAAACGCGAAACAAGAAAATTGGATTAAGAATTCGCGTTTCTGAAACGCGAATAATTTTAATCACCTTTCAAAAAAATCGGTTGAGAGAAGAAACTGAATAAAAAAAGCACAATCATTTCTCGCGTTTTGGAAACGCGAAAAATTGTACATTTTTCGCGTTTCTGAAACGCGAATTATTTTAAACATCTGTCCAAAAATTCCGTTGAGAGAAGAAATTGAATTAAAAAAGGGTGATCCTTTTTCGCGTTTTGGAAACGCGGAAAATATGTTTTAATCATTTTTCGCGTTTCTGAAACGCGAATTATTTTAAACATCTGTCCAAAAATTCCGTTGAGAGAAGAAATTGAATTAAAAAAGGGTGATCATTTTTCGCGTTTTGGAAACGCGAAAAATGTGTATATTGCACTTTATAAGAATTTAGCGTTTTCAAAACGCGAATATTTTTTCTAGCGTTTTGAAATCGCGAAATATCCAGAAAATCTCCTCCACCACTCATTCGAATCCACGTGTACTTTGATGATAAGTCTTTGAGTGTATTTGCGTTTTGTAAACGCGAAATTTAAGGTTTATATACTAAACCAAGCAAAATAACAGCATTTTTCGTTCATTCATTGAGTCCGATTTTAAGATTCTGTGAAAGCTCTCATTTCCTTCAATTTGAGAAATTGCTCCGAAGTTAAAGAAGATTGATTTGAGTCCTGAATCCGTACAAGCTCTCATTTCTTTCAACATTCAGGTAAGTTAATTTCGTTATAGAAAATATGTACTTTTTTATGCCTTATTGTGAGCATAGGATGATTTACGCATTATTATTAGTTAATAAATAATTGTGATTTAGTCAATTAACGGTGATTTTTTAATTAGGCTGATAAAGTGAATTGAAAGAAATATTAGTTAATAGAATGTTAAATTAGATTAGCGTTTTGTAAATTATTGTATATCGATTTCTGTAAAATAAAATAAAATTATAATAATGATATTGAATTTTTGAATATTTTTAGCATAAGAATAAATTATGTAATTCGGGCATAAGGTTTAGATTTTATATTAATTTTTAGCATAGAAATGAATTTGTAAATTCAGGCGTATAGTTGTTCTTTTGAAATTATTAAATCTGTAAACGGGGTAAATACTGTTTCCGCAGAACTAAAAATCAAAATGTATGCTAGTGTTCTGATTTCGTAGGAAGTGATTTTACAGCTGCAAATGTCTTTCACGGAGACAGTTAATTCAAATTATCTTGGAATACTACTTATACAACCGAACTCGATGGGACTATCACGGTGCAATGGGATGCGCCGGACGGTTATCTTATCATTGATCGTATGTTAGATTTCTCGGAACTTGTTGATAAGGTATTAAGTGTGATCGGAGTTGATAGAGAAGGGCTGTATATTGATTTTTCTTTGGTATGGACGGAGAGGTCAGGAAAAAGGTCTCGTGTGCACATTAATGATGATAATACTGTTCGGTTCATTTATCTTTGTGCTGATAAATGGCCAGAATTGTACCCTGAAAATGTTGAGAGAACAGGCCATGTTTATGCAAGTACATCTGGCCAGGATATTGGTGCCAGCACTAGTGGTGGTAGAACAATTGAAGACAATGAAGATGGAGATGAAGATGGAGATGAAGATGAAGATAAAGATGAAGATGAAGATGCAGATGAAGATGAAGATGTCGGGGGTGTCGAAAGCAGTGATGATGAGTACGTCCCATCGGATGAGGACTCAGATGACGACACTGATTTTGAGTCATCTTCTTCAGTCCCATATGTTTTCGACGACATAAGTGGATGGGACAAGACTTTAGAGGAAGTAGAAAACGATGGAATTAAAATGTGGGATGGCAATCCGTTGACGCTAGGCCTTGATATACATTTCGCCAACAAGCCTGAGGCACAAGCGGCAGTGGGAGAATGGAACTTGGTACATGGTCGGACTTTCCGGGTGAAAACGAGCTCTAAACGAACATGGTATGTCGAATGCGAGACGTGTGGACCTAAATATCCGAAAGAGCGCCTTCACGGCTATGATTGTCTGTGGAAGGCGCGAGTTTCGCTACAGAAGGCCACCGATACTTGGAAAATGGTGGTATGGTCCGATTCCCACAAGCTGTCTTGGGGCAAACAAGAGAAACGAGTCCCGAAATGTCACGTCTTCTATGATTGCTAGACTGGTTGCCCAAAATGTGCGAAAACATCCAGATTTTGCGGTTGCCCAAATTCAAATAGAAGTGATGAAGAGGTACCAAGTCGAATGTAGCTACAAGAAGGCATGGCATGGTAGAAGAAAAGCACTTGAGGCTCTGTATGGTACATGGGAAAGTAATTTTCAACAATTGCCCAGCTTCCTCAATGCATTGTTCATGTCAAACCCGGACACTTGTGTGCAATTCAAGTTTAAGGAAAATTCAGGAAGCTCACAAAGGTTTGTATGTAGGTATGTTTTCTGGGCATTTGGGCCATCTATACAGTTATTTCATGCTTGTTGGCCAGTAATAACCATCGATGCCACTCACCTGCGAGGATCCTAAAGGAAAACTAATTGTGGCATGCGTAAAGTGCGCAAATGGCACGATTGTTCCCATCGCATTTGCTCTTGTGGACGAAGAGACTATACACAGCTGGAAATGGTTTTTGAAGTATTTGAAAAAGTTTGTTCTACAGGATAGGAAGACCTGTATTATCTCTGATCGAAATCAGGGTATCCTTACTGCCATGGACATCATGTTGCAAAAATTCCCAGAGATGGCCGTCCACCGTTATTGTCTAGAGCATGTTAAAGCAAACTTGGTTGGGCATTTTCGAAAGGAGAAACTGCGAGGCAACTGTCAAATGATTGGTTCAGCGACGCAAAAGACAAGGTTCTTGGCAGAGTGGCAAAAATTAGAAGAAAAAAATGAGCCTGCTGCTCGTTGGCTTCAGAAGCTGGGTGTTGAGAAATGGACATGTTTACACGATGGAGGGCATCGTTGGGGAGAAATGACCACTAACATCTCAGAGAGTTTCAATAATGTGCTGAAAGGGTCTAGATTCTTCCCGATCACAGCATTGATCCTAGCATCATTTCAGAAAAGCAACAATCTGTTTCAGGCAAACATTGATATGATCCAAAAATGTCAGACTGTTCTACCTCCTACTCCAATGAAACTGTATGAAGAGGCCCGGAAGAAATCATTGAGGCAAAAGGTCAACCGGTTTAGCAAGAGAAACCAGAAGTACGAAGTGGTTACAATAGCACCTGATAATCAACCATGGAAGGCTGACGAGAAGCAAGTTGTGTTGTATGCAAATCGAGAGTGCACTTGCGGAAAGTGGCAGACTTTCAGATTTCCTTGTTCCCATGCACTTCGAGTTGCCCGTGAGCTAGGTGACGATCCCTTCCCACTTTTTGATCCATGTTACACTACGCATCAATGGTACCAACAGTTTTCTGGAGAATTCAACCCAATCATGGAACCATGGCCAAAGGCAACGTGGCAGATCAGGCCAGATGACACTAAACTTGTCCACCATGCTGGCCGAGGTCGGAAGCGTGTGAATCGGAAAAAAGGTGTGATGGATTATACAAGCAAATCTGGCCAGCGAAGACTCAAAACTTGCAGTTTATGTAAGCTACAAGGCCATAATGCCAGGGCTTGCCCATATGCGAGAGTTTGCGCACGATGTGGAAGTTTAGATCATGATGCTGTGGAATGCCCTTTTTCTCATCCACCCGCTGACAGGACCGCTATTGATAAACTGTACGATCCATATGGAATTCATGGTGTGCCTAATATCGATTCTGATGATGATGATGATGCGTAGTGATGATTTTCCTCATCGTCTGTTGTGATGATTATGTTAGTGTTCATATTTTTGTGTTGTTTTGAACATTCATGTAGTAAACCTCAGAGGATGAATCAGTTTGCGTTTGTATTTGTGTTAGTGTGTTGGTTTAGATGTTTCTGTAATTTATATTAGTATTATTTTTGAAATTTAAAACGTCACTGTTCATTTTAGTAATATTACTAATTATTACTATAGTGGTAGAGTGATATGATATATACATGTCGAATAAAGCACTAATTATGTAATAAACAATAAAGGGTAAGAAAATTAATTATTTGTTTATTTATCACCGTAATAAACAGAACCATATATCCGGCCTAAAAATCAGACGTTTTTTTTTAGTTATACCCCAATAATCGCGTTTCTGAAACGCGAAACAAGACAAGGTGGACATTGTTTTCGCGTTTCTGAAACGCGAAAATAAGGGAGAGGAGACGTTTCGCGTTTCTGAAACGCGAGTTTTGGGTTTTAATCCGATTCGCGTTTCGGAAACGCGAAAATAGGGGGTTAAATAAATTTTTCGCGTTTCGGGTTGATGTTTCTCAAACAGAACCATATATCCGGCGTACTCCATTGAAACCGGCGATTTTTCCGGGAAAGTTGCCGGAATCGAGTTTCGGCATCAATTTTTTGCAGTTTTTAGGCTATATCGAGGTAAGTTGCATTTTTTGCTCTCATTGAATCGTTTTTTTTAATTTTCGATTCATATATTTTGTGTTCGTTTTATTTGTAATTTTATTTAGCGATTTAATACTCCGTTAATAGATCTAGTATTATAGGTGTTGTAATTGTGGAATTTTGTGTTCATTTTTTGTTGTATACTCCGTTATATTTTGTGTTCATTTTTGTTGTATAGAGGAGGCGGCGGGGAAGGAAGGGAGGGGGAGGCGGGCGGCGGGGAAGGAAGGAGAGGGGGCGGGCGGCGGGGGAAGGAAGGGGAGGGGGAGGCGGGCGGCCGGGGAAGGAAGGAGAGGGGGCGGGCGGCGGGCGGGGCGAAGGAAGGGGAGGGGCGGCGGGCGGCGGGGAAGTAAGGGGAGGGGGCGGCGGGGGGAAGGAAGAGCTTAGGGAGTTTAGGGTTTGGGGGAGTTTAGGGTTTGTTGGGGTGTTGGGCTTAGGGATTTTAGGGTTTGGGGGATTGGGTTGGGTTTAAAATGTGGGTTTTGGGTTGAAGATTGGGTTGGGTTTAGAGGAGTGGGTTTTGGGTTGGGGATTGGGTTGGGTTTAGAGGAGTGGGTTTTGGGTTGGGGATTGGGTTGGGTTTAGAGGAGTGGGTTTAGGATAATAAAATTTAGTGTTGGAATTTTTAATGTATAGGATAATTAGTTACCGGAATAATAATATTAATTCGTATTTACTAAAATGTAGGGTTGAAATTTTTAATGTATAGGATAATTAGAAAAGAATAATAATATTAATCTGTATTTACTAAAATGTAGGGTTAAAATATTTAATAAAAGAATAATTAGAAAAGAATAATAATATTAATCAGTATTTACTAAAATGTAGGGTTAAAATATTTAATAAAAGAATAATTAGATTAGAATAATAATATTAATCTGTATTTACTAAAATGTAGGGTTAAAATATTTAATAAAAGAATAATTAGATTAGAATAATAATATTAATCTGTATTTACTAAAATGTAGGTTAAAATATTTAATAAAAGAATAATTAGATTAGAATAATAATATTAATCTGTATTTACTAAAATGTAGGGTTAAAATATTTAATAAAAGAATAATTAGATTAGAATAATATTAATCCGTACTTACTAAAACTATTTGTAAATTGTACTAGCCATGGACATTGGATCATCTTCTTCCTCCCAATCTACCTCAAAGAAGCTACGGCAGGGACCCAGAGACAGTAGTTTGTTGTTTCTCCAAAACGCCCATAGGTCACACAATATATTCCATGGTGCACAGTATGATATAGGGATTTCGGAGCCCAGGCGCGTAGATAGCGCCGCGTGGAAATTAATAAAAGATGCACCGAGGTTGACAAAGGAATATATTGAGAAATTTGGTTTTGGACCGTTCTCTAGAGTTGGGTCCATCAGATGTGACCATGCCCTGCTTACAGCTCTTGTGGAGCGATGGCGCCCAGAGACCCATACATTTCATTTACCTTTTGGGAGGCTACTATCACACTCCGGGACGTCGAGGTTCTTTTGGGCCTTCGGGTTGATGGACGCCCGATTCAGGACAAGACACCACGCCCGATGGTGGTTGGGCAGCCTATTTGGAGAGGATGTTTGGATTTAGGTTCCAGACAGAGGAGTCTAGATTGACGAGTGTTTCCATCACTGAAATAAAGACTCACATAGAGAATAATCCTTTGACGGACTGTCCCCGACGATGCACACCTACAATGAGCCCGTTGTTTTGTTGGATGGCTCGTTGGCGGACATCGTTCTCAAACACTACGAAACAGTTTTCCTCTCGATCTTGTGCATTTTCTTCATACTCCCGAGATTTGCTCGGAGTACAGTTGGGGTAGTGCGGCACTATGTTACTTGTACCGCAGCATGTCCAGGTCTTCTCTGGCCGCTTCTGCCAAGGCTATTACCGGCTGTGTGATTCTTCTTCAGGTATTTTATCTTTTCATTTCTCTCTAGTTTCATTTTATATTCTCCCATTATTATTGGTGATTTTAGCTAATGATTTCTTCATTCTGAATTAGCTCTGGGCCTGGGAGCGGATTTTGACGGTTCAGCCCAAGATACTGGGTAGGGATCTCGATCTATCTGATTGTCCATTGGGCACGAGGTAATCTTATACATCAAACCTTCGTAAATTTTGACATTTTAATTTGTACTGTCATGTCTCAATTTAATGTTACTTTCTCCGTGCAGGTGGTCCCGCGAGAAAAAAGTTCAAGGTATCACGCGGTTCAATTTGGCCGCGTATCGGGATCAGCTTGCGCTCTCGCAGAGTCGATGTTAGTATTCTATTCAATTAGTATAACTTATCTTTTATTCGTTTTTTTTAACGGTGTCGAACTTTTAATTACACGTCTCTTACTTAATTACCATTGCAGTTTGTCTGGATGCCGTACACAACTCTTTTGGGTCGTATTGCCGTGGTTTGTCTTGTGGGACAGGGGCATATGGCGATCTCGGACATGGCTCATCTGCGGTGATGTCGTTGCGCCACACAACCCCAGAGGGTATTTCGCCAATTTGGTTATCACCAGCGGATACCCGCGACGCATTACTTCTCACCGCGGCGGAAATTACTAGCCTGCTCAAGAGGAAGCCGTTTGGAGGATCCGATAGGAGATGGTTACAACAACTAGGGATATATCTCCAGGTTTGGAATGATCGCCACGGCCAAGTTGTGGGGACTGATGATCTTTATGTTGGCGAGCCTTCCGCAGATCCGGAGTATCTCTTGTGGTACCATCAGGTTACTGTGAAGTATGTTACGGATCCGACGGACTCTGAAAATGCGAGGGGTTTTCACGGTTCTGCAGAGACCTTGCGCGTCATGGTGAGTATTTCGCCTAAAGTTTGTGGTTCTTTTTATTAACACTGTTGTCGATTTATGATTCTTTCTAATAAAAATTTCAGGCCACATTGATGGAGGATGTTCGTAGTCTGAGTATTATAGGCCAGCGTACTTTCGACGCGGACTCCTTTGGTTATGATCGCTTAGGCGAGATTGCCCAGGTTGCTGAGCGGGCGTTGTCCGTCAATGCAACAAATGTTGTACGGCACGATCTCGATAGGCATGTTGAGGTTCATGACATTTTGAGTCAAGAACTTGCACCTGTAGACCCGACCCAGCAACATCCACCACCCAGACCTCCGAGGCGTTCGCGCAGGTCTCGGCGTGGGCGTGGGGGGCAAGAGACAATCACAACATCTCAGCCACATCAGTCCTCCCAAGATGAGCAGCCTCATATTCCCTTCACTGGCGGTTCATCCCATCGGTCTCCACATCGATCTCCACTCCATTCTCGACAGCATTCAGCCCATCGGTCTCCACATCATTCATCCCATCGGTCTCCACATCATTCTTCGCCGACCCATCAGCGTTTTACCGTCCGATTATGTCTCCCAAGACCAAGCAGTCAATTTTTCCTTCACTCGGTTTTCCTCCCCTCGACTTCTCGTCGGTTTGGAGATTCTTTTATTGACTTTTCCGGGTTTCAGCAGAGTTCGCTAGATGGCCATCGATACATTACACGAGTAACTTTCTTTCGAGTATGTTCGAGGGTGTTGCGGGTCAGCATCAGGCTGATAACCCAGCTGAGGGTGAGCGTGAGAGTCAGGGTGAGGATGAGGCTGAGGATGAGGTTGAGGATGAGGATGAGGATGAGGCTGAGGATGCAGACCAGGATGATCAGTTTGAGGGTCATGGTTATCAGCGCCATGAGGAGCAGGGATCGAGTCAGACTCTAGGGACTCCACCGTTGGCTGTGAGTAAAGGCCAGAGAGTGACGAAGGAGCCCGATAGATTGACTTATAGCCTTTTTCGGGCTAAAAAGCCCAAGAAGAAGTAGGGTACTAGACTTCTTATGTAGTATTATTAGACTTGTATTTTTTTTTCCCTTTTGTTCATTTCTGTTTTCTTTCCTTTTGTTATGACTTGTTTTATTTTTTTTTACCTTTTGTTATGACTTGTAGTATTTTGTTATGACTTGTATTAATATTCTTAATAGTTTGATTTCACCTGCATCGTAAATACAATAATTAATATTTATAAAACACATCTTCGCCGATCAAATCGAAACACATATTTAAACTTTCTTATATTTTTTTTCATAATTAATAGTTGCTTCATCTTAAGTGTTGGTAAATTAAAATATATATTTAATAAAATTTATTCTTATTTTAAGCTTTTTTCTTATATTAAAACCATCATAATTAATAAAATTAATTTGTAAATTAAATTACATCTCATTAAATCCATAAAATTACGTCATTATCATTATTGAAAATTTTTCATATAAAATTATTTTTTAAAATAATGATTACATTTTTAATACAAATTTTTAATATAATCATTATTAATTTTTTTTATATAATGTTTTAAAAATTAATACATTATAATAACTATATCATACTTTTAATAATTTATATTTAGTATAGCTCTATTTTATTTAATGAGTATCAATTATAATATTATATTCTTATTCAAAATTTAATTTTCGTATTATTAAAATTATCAATATAATTTTCCTCTTTATAGCTCTATTCAAAATTTAATGATTAACAGTTATAATTTTCAAATTTTCTGTTACCATTATTCAAATTTAATAATTTTTTGAAGTCAATTTCCCTATAACGTTTTAAACTAGTCAAATTAATCATTTTTTTATGCCTATTTCTTTTTTTATTAAATAAAATGTTTTTTTAATTGATTTCGCGTTTTCAAAACGCGAAATCTTATTGATTCAAGTTAATTAATTAGGATTATGTTAAATTAATTTTTTCTCCTTCTTTTTCGCGTTTCAGAAACGCGAAAAGCATACATTCGCGTTTTTAAAACGCGATTTTGTGTTTTTAGCGTTTTCAAAACGCGTGTTTTGATTTTTTCGCGTTTCTGAAGCGCGAGAAAACTATTTTTGGCCACAATTTAAACCCTAAACATATTTTGTTCTTCATTTTTTTTTTCAGTTACTAATAAGTAAATTTTCCCCGTAATTAGTGAGGACAACCGTGGATCACAGAGTAATAGCCCTGAACAAAATGATGATGATATTGATCTACAATCAGAAGCTGCAGACGCCAGTGGAAATAGTGGTTCAGGTCAAGATCCTCCAAAAGGAACTGGGAATAACGAAAGTGATGGTTCAGCAAATGAAGTTCCACATCTTATTGCTTTTGAAACCAGAACCCTTCTTGAGTTAAACTTTCTCATTTGTTCTATTAGTGCCGCAGCTGTTTTCACTCTCATGTCATCAAGCGCACCCAACTCCTGGTTCTATGGTATCTCTGCTGGAGCTGCTTGCCTGGGTTTCTTTTGTAATTTTCTTGCAATCAGTCTTTTGAGCTACCAAAGTGCCGCTAAAGTCTTGACAATAATTGGCGCAGTTGGTACGGCATTTGCCATCAGCGTTGCTTTGGGTGCAACAGAAATCCGTAAGATGGTATTTTATTCTGATGCCTAACCTGGTGTTGTGCTTTTTTATCGCTGTGATGGTAGCATTGGCTGACATATAGTAAAGAACTCTATCACTCCCTGTCCATTGCCATTCAGTAACGTAGTCAAGATTATAGATTTTGGGAAAGTAGACTGAACGATGAGGTTGTAAAATGTAAAGCGAAGATTGCTATATACTTGTGCTCTGAAAGTCAGAAAAATGTCTGCAACTATTTTATCTTTCATCATACCTAATTTTCAGTTTATATCACGGTTAGGTTGTAAGTAAATTTGGCTCTATACTGTACATTTACTGAGAAACAGCTACAGGATGAGACTATGAATTGATACCAAATTACGTCAATGTTATCATTTTGGGTTGACAGTTATGAGTGCAGATCATCTGCACCAATTTTCATTTGCGGCTACTGCAGTTATGGCTGTAATTCGCCACTTGATCTTTGGCTTGACGAGGATGCTTCATTTTGTTAATCTGCTTAACTGCGGCAGGATGCAGAATGTTGATTAGGTTGCAAATCCGACAGTCTATTGAGCTGCAAAAGGCTGCAGCATGACAGGTAAGAAAAAGACCAGCAATGGTTTCCAGCTACTGGATTTGACAGCAAAATTGATCTAAGGAAGAAGATGTTTCTTTTTTCTTTTTGGGTTTTGGATACATCAATTGCATAAGAAAATCTCCCTTACCCTAACACAAGTGGGATTCAATCTCTAAACCTCTTGGAAATCTGTTCAGAAGTTTAGCACCAGGCTAAAACCATTTCGGCAAGCATGAAGTTCTGAAATTAGAGACGGAAATGTACTGCTGTGCCGGTTTCTTCCATAAGTAATTGGCATTTAGAATGTTGAAATTGCTAGCAGTTTGATTACCCTTTTTTTTTATTACAAGTTTAATTACCGATTTTAAATTAAGGTACTTTTTCCTTTTCTTGGGAAACAAAAAATAAATAAATTACAGGTTGAAATGTTCCAAATTAATTGTGTGCAAATATGATCTTGTGCTGTGTAATAGATGAAATTGCATTGTTTTTTAAACTTTTCGGGGAAAGGCAAAATGTTGAAGTCAAATACAAGGAGAAGAAAAAAAAAAAAAACCTTATTTGTTTTTTTGGTAAAAAAAATAAACCTCATTTTATGTCTTATACATTTGAACAAAAACACGTTTTCGATCTGTATATTCAGCTTTCAGGCCCAAAATTCAGGAATGTAATATCACCCAAGACTAGTCTACCAAAAATAAATAAATGAAGACTGTAATTTATATTCAATTGCAAAAAAAATAAATAAAAAATAAAAAAATGAACTCCCTCTGTCTTAAAATTAATGTATATCGAGATAGAAGGAGTGCACATTATCGAAGAGAAGGCCATTTATATATATTCTTAGAATTTGCAGCACTATTCCTAATAAATCTAATGTAGCACCCCGGCCCTAACCTAGCACATGATTCGGGAAAAATATTGGAGACCGAAAAAACTTTTAATCTCTGCAATACGAATTATCTCGACTTCAATTGTGAGACTATCCTTTACAAGAAAACCTTTTGATAAATCATTAAAGTCATCAAGTGATAGAAAATTCTTCCAACCCCAGCTTGCTTGTAATGGAGAGAAGAAGCGATAACCTGAGAGTAAAATTCAATGTTACAATATATGGAACACAAACTTATCATAATCCAGCCATATATGAATCTCACAAATGCATTCCTAAGAAATAGAATTGTACAAGTTCTTGTAAAATTTTTAAATGAACCTTTTTTCTCGTAATCACATACGTCGGTCTGGCTCTTGATCCTAAAATTCCATTCTACATAGACTTTATCTGTAGAACTTAATAAACGAAAATAAGCCGCAATACTTTTACCATCCCCTCCATGCCCTCTAGGGTAAAACTCGATTATCCTGATAATAAAATATATAAGAGACAACTAAAACTAATTTTATCAGTCATATTCCAAAAGGAAAAAAAAAAAAAAATACTATTCCCTCAGTCTTAAAATTATTGTTCAGTTTATATTTTTAGTTTTAGTACAATTTGAACTAAAAATGAAACACACCGGACAATAATTTCGAGAAGGAAAGAGTACTGATTTTCAAATAGGAGTAACAGATTTTTGAAACATGCCATTTGTGATTTCCGAGAGTAAGCTTTTGAGACTTATTTCGCTCGGGCAAAGTAGAGTAACCAGTGATTTTCCAAGTGTAACTTGACAACGCTAGTTTTGTGGGTCGACCAACACACTCCCCTTTGCCACTGTAATTACAAACAGAAACTTTAACTCCAAAAACACATTCATCTGGGAGTAAGTATCCCTTTGTAGGATCTTTAAAAGCACTGAGAGGCATCAATTTGGGAAAGCCCCATCTTTTCTTCATCTGATTGAATCTTCTGCTCTTGTCAACTAAGCAAAAGAAAACAAAAAAGTGGGTACATATAAATTACAACAAACGGATGGAAATTTTGAAAGATGGACAAGGGAAAACATTTGAACCTTCAAAAGTCGAATACGTGTCTCGAATATGATCGAACACAAAAAATTTGAAGTCTGCAATTACTTCCCATCCAGGAGGCAAATCACTAGTCTCTTCAATACTCAAATAAAGTGATATATGTTCTGCCCCACCTCTTTCTTCATCACCGTTGGGAAAGAGACATAATTTCCTTCATAAAATAGTACAAGATTAAACATCAAGTATGAGTAAATTAAGGCCAAGTTTCTCAATGTCGTCATCCAGTACTCTCCAACTATCTTTTACTCCTACTTAATTATATGGGGTTCAAAACCCTAATCGTGGCCAAAAAAAGTGTAAGAATTTTTTTTTTTTTTGACGAAAATAATAATCTCGCGTAGGTGAAATTTCCTTCAACTCGCATAACTTGTATCCAACCTTGCAAAGTCATTATATTTTAATTAAGAGAACTCGGAAAATTGCTATGCGAGTTCATTATTTTTAATTTAAAAAACTCGTGAAACTGCTATGCGGGATTAGTATATTGTCAAAAAAAAAAAAAAAAAGGTTCTAACTAAATTTTTTTTCCACAATATGAGGTTTGGACCCTTTTAAACTTAGGCCCTTCTCAGTACTCCAATGTACTAACTTTTAGCTGAGGCGCATCAACCATAATAAGTTATGCTCTATTAAAACGCAATATCTAACATGGGAAGGAAAGGAAGGGTGCATACCACTTATAACCATTAGCTTCGAAAACTTCGGAATTATAACTCTTTAAATTTGTGTTTCCAAGAATGTCTTGAAGAAACGAGAAAGATTCAACCTTCAAACACTAGTGTGTTCGATGATTATCTGTCATTGATTCCACAATACCTGAGAAAATAAAATAGTTTTCATGCGTGATATTAGGGCATCTTTAACCATACATGAACCAAAAAAGTGACTCATTAGGTTAATTAATATATGTTAGATTTTAAAATTTTTTAACTTTTCCTATAACTTTTACTGATCGATCCCACACCTACCCTTTTTTCTTGGTTTATTATATTCATAAACTTTCTCTTTGAATTTGTTGTCTCATTAGGATGTTACTTATACATAAACGGTGAGCCACCCAAAGTATAAACCCTCTCATGAATTGAGGGTGCTCTTATGCTAAGCAAATTAACCTTTATCCCCTAGTGAATATATAAAATCAAATTAGAACAAACCCTAAGCAAAATCCATAGTGATTATAGGCATAGGCTACGGGGAATATTGCACACAGAACAAGTCTACTACAAGCATGCAATTCTCAAATTAAATCTACAAATCTTGGTTGCCTTAATTGTGTTCTCAAATCGACACTTAAGCCACTTCTAGTGAAAGGGAAAATATACAAAATTTTTCAGATGTAACAAAAGTTTAAGCTGATTATCATGTTAGCATATTCATTAAGTTTAAAAACGGTGTTTAGATGATTTAATAATCAAACGGAGGGAAATGGTGTAAAAGAAAAGGAAAATTATAAGGTTGATCAAAGGAAAAAAACAAAGTACGAATCAACTAACAATGTGTATTTTGAAGATTGAGAAAGCATACCAGTACAGTTCATGGCGTTTTGTTGCTGCTGCTTTGCTTTATTTGCAATGTTATCTTTGTTGATGAATACTCCTTGAGTTTTTTTTTGATAACCTAAGCCAAGACGTAATGGTGTTGATATTTTATATAAGAGCCGTAAGTAAGAACCTTATTTTCCTTTGGAACTTTGTATTGTTACTCGATATTACATATTTACACGTAGATACATGTTCTTATAAGTATCTTTTCTAAAATAGTTATCCATCAGTACTGAAACTATTGTCTATTTTGGATTTTATTTTTTAGTATAAATTGAATTATTAAAAATTAAAATCCAAACTTGACATAGGTTTGGGATAAAGGGAGTATTATACTCCCTCCGGTTTGTTGTCTATTTCGATTTTATATATATATATATATATATATAGAATAAATTGAATTTAAAGGTAAAATCTAAATTTGACAATAATTTTGAAACAAAAGAAGTATTATACACCCTCCGGTCCTTATTATCGGGTTTTTTATTTGTCAAAAACTCCATCTAATATATTTTTTCGATTAAAAAAATTTTAAAAATATTTTATAAAAATTAGAAGAATACAATGAATGTGAAAAAATATTTTTAAGGCTTTTCTTTTAATTGAAAACGTATATTAGATGAAATTTAAAACAAATCAAATGACTTATAATAAAAAACGGAAGGAGTATATGACATCACCGAATATGTATTAATTCTATTTATTTACCAAAAAATTACTCTAATTCGCATCTCGATAGAATTTCTGTGTTACTATATGAAAGTTACCACTGAAATACTGTTTTATTATATATTTTCACTTGATATTCGAGTAAGTGCCATGAATTGTGAAGAAGGAAAAAGGAAGTTATTTTCCACACCATTCTTGTTCCCAGTATCACCATGACTATTGTTTGGGTTGTATTGCATGACCTTAGTGTCACGTTTATAGCATCTGATAGGAATAAATTTTATTGAATTCTCAAGACTCAAGAACATTTAAAACTAGTAACTAATGTGTAGAGTTTTGCTTTGAACGGAACTTGGTGTGTTTTCTATTATTGCAATAGGTTTTTGAGTTAGATCCCGATATCTGAACTCTCTTCTGTATAATATTGTTAACTTTTTGTATTATTTCCCTAAAAAAAACACAATAACGTAAATTGTACATCAAATTAAAAGGAAAAAAAAAAAAAAAAAACCCATTTTGTTGCATACTTTCTTTTTTTTCTCGTAGGGTATACATCGATACTTTAAAGTGTTGATGATATTGATACTTTATGTCCTTTGCTCCAATGTATTACTACAACTAAACCTTCTGAATTCTCGAATGCAAGCAATGCAATCAATTAATCTAGCACATCCCCAAAAGGAAGATCTTGAAGATGTAGCAAAAAGAAGCACCAAGGCAGAAGAAGATAAGCATACAATCGAACAAGCTCTCAAAACCCTATCTAATTTCGGTGCCGCACATAAAACAGAACAGAGTGATGTTCAATTTAGAGATGTGACATAGTAAATTTGCCTGATCCTAAATTTACAGAATGTTATTCTTAAGGGTAGGTAATGTGATGCTTCTGATTATCCCTTACAGAACATATCAGCCGGCCACTACCTGTATACAACAAGGTATACTCACTCTTCCTCATCTTGCGTATCATCAGAAGCTATAAGATGGTTGAGAGCAACTTTTGTCTTCTTTGCTTGTGGCAAAATTCCCTTGTTAACATCCTCATCATTCTTCCTCTTGGTTAATTCGTTATCTTGATCCTGAACTTTACCGTTATCAGCATTTTCCTGCAAGGATGATGGGGCTTCAACTTTTGAATCATTTTCTTTGACATTCGGAACTTCGCTGCTGGACTTGGTCTGACATCCAGTCAAGAACGTACGAATTTCTTCACCGCTTGCCAGATCGACTGGAGTTTGTCCAGCTTTGTTCTTGGAATTGACAACCGCACCTTTCTTTATCAAGTATTTGACCAGTTCCAGATGTGAACCTTGGGCAGCATAGTGCAAAGCAGTCATGCCCTTGCGGTTGCATGACTTGATTGGGACTCCAGCACTTATTAGAATTCGCACAACTTCTGTGTGACCCTTCTGCGAAGCAAAATGAATGGCTCCCATGTCATCCATTGCTGCAGCTCCAACATCCGCTTTCTTAGAGAGAAACTCCACTACCTTAGTTTGCCCAGCCCAAGCTGCTAGATGAAGTCTAGGGTCAACATCAGTCAAGGAACAAACAGGCAAAATCTGATACGAAGGAGTAACAGATGTGTAAGGTAAGTGGAATCAATCTAGAAAAATCCTTTTGCCAGAGGGTGAAGATCTAAGCATTAGGCAACATCACCCACATAGCAATATACAGAGGACTATATACAAGTATCTAACAAATGCAACACCCTTTCATCATTTTTGACACCAGACACTATCTTATTCCTGGCACTTGCAATACGAAACTTCAGCAAAACTAAAGCTCATCAACCCTATGAAATGAAGATAGAGGAGAGATCCGAATCCACAAACAGAGCCCAAATATGACTTCCAAATTTATATCTTTCGAGAATGGAAAGGATCAGTTGGTAGTATTTTCAAAAAGTAAAATAGGATGGGATTGAATTAACAAGCATGACATCAAATGCAACACTCAGAGAACCAGAGAGGACACAAATTCTGATATGATCAATAATCACACAAAAAGGTTCTGATCAACTAACATAATTCTAGAGAACTAGATCGACTTTCCTTCATCAAAAGAATAGGATTGCCCACAACTAGAAGAACAGGGAGGAAAAGTAATACTCTCAAGGTAAAATGATTTTATTTCCCAGAAATCAAGCTCCAACAAAGTTACTTTTCTTTCCTAACCTTATTGCGTAAGGCCCGATTTCTTCCTTGGATTTGATTTGAAACGCCACATTACTCTTACAGAACAAATAGATGAATATCTCAGATTGAGTGACATAACCAATTCTCACAATGTGTCACAAGACGCATACTTATATAGGCAAAATCAAACAAGAGAAAGTACCCTTAAATAACTACGTAAACAGAAGTTTCGAACAGAAACTTTAAATTAAATTATCGCACAACATACAACTATAGCATATATGCCTGTGAGAAACAGATATGCATCACTTCATATAAAATAAACAAAACAATGTGTTGTTTCTTTAATCCCTAATTCCTGTAGGACTAATCAGTCTGATCAAAAATCTATTCCCTAGACAAATAAATGGAACGAAAAACTTTTAAAAAATCCGTCATCAAAAGATAGGAGAAGAAAAATTTACTCAATAACTCCATGAAAGAAGAGCTCGATAGCATTCCGGTATAGAAAACACTCTCAACCAAGCAAAACCCCAAACGAGTTAAAAAAATCCCTCCTAAAAATCCACTCTTCCTAATCACGCATCAAGCAATCAAAGGATTATCTCCATGGGATGATCAGAACTCTTAATAGTTACCATATTAATATTGAGCAACCCACTCTCATACACTAAAGTAAAAAACATAAGACAGATACTGAACTAACATGACTGCCCTCACTTCAAACACCTTGTGAAATCAAAATTACCACTTTCCTGCTTCAAATTACCTGGATTAGCACCACACACTCCATTATTTAAGCCAAATTTCCCAGACACCATAAGTTAAACATGTTTCCGAACCCTCATAAGATAACAATTAGAATACTTCACCAAATTAACCTCAAAACAAAATTGCCCACCCAAGAAACAACAGAAACGAGTACTGAACGGCAGAAAACTATACAGGTTAAGAAGTAATGGCAACAAAAAATGGTGTCAAAAACAAAGCAGGAAAAACAAATTAACGGGAAAAAAAAGGAGAAGCTATAGAAGGATACGGAGTACGGGAGTGTTTGTCTCTAGAGTTGATGGCAAGAGGGTCGGTGCTGCATATCCTCAGAACGGCCTCAAGGTCCCCTGATCGAGCAGCTTTATGTAATTCTTCATCTCCTCCCGCTGTGTTTTCTGTTGCTGTTGTTCTCCCCGGTTTCTTCTGATTCCCCATGGCTTCTTCTTCTTCTTCACCTTTAGTCCTCTTTACTCTTCTGAAACGAAATTTACAGAGTTAACTACAAACGGGATCTAATAGGTCTGGATAATTGGGCTGACCCATTTTATCTGTGGACAACCAAGCCCATATTTGATAACTTGAATTGCATATAGTTCCTTCAAGTTTGTATGTTTTGCAAAATAAATTCTCTGTAATTTTGCCGTTTTTGTTCTTCTCCATACAGTCTTCTTCTTTAACGACTGAAATGAATTACTGAATACTACTTCACCGGCAATTCCTCCACCTCCCGTTTGTCCCCTGGCGTTATTTCTCCATCTCAGTCCAGAAGAGGTAATTGCTTGTTTCCGTTCTTCTTCTTTTCTTTTGCTTCTTCTGGTTTTTGGATTGTCATATTTGATCGTTTTCTTCTTGTGTTCGTATTGCACACTCCTATTTTTGTGTTCACGATTTCTTTTGTATTGATTTTGGATTGTACAGTGATTTCAAATCTCGTTTTTTTGGTCGAGATTTTGTGCGGTTTCCGTTGAATTTAACAAGGAACCTGCTTTATTGATGATTCTGATTGTATGCTGTCAACTCTGTAGTATGTACGTTTCGTGTATTGCTGATTATTTTTGCTAAGAATGATTTTGTTGTACTCTCGCATTTCAAAGTTGAGATGAAAATTCATAATCGAACTTTGACAAAGAAGGTCATTTGACTCTCCTCCATAGTCCATTCGTTAGCTTTCAAGTTTTTAATTGATCAGAGGTTTTGATTTGTGCTCTTCTTTGAATAAGATTAATGTTTTTGCAGCTTTAGACTCATGCTAATTTGCGACGAATCCTGTTATTGAAAACAGATGGGAAGATTTTGTGGGTTTTATATCCTTGCAGCTTTGAACAATGAGTAACCAGCAATGAATTTTGTTTCTGTTTCAGTGCTGTTGTTCTGATTATATACTGATTGTAAAGATGAACAACCCTGTTATTTACAATGATAAATGCTGTTTTGAGTTTTTTTGTTGTAATCATTGATTAGAGAGCTAAGTGCTTTTAGCTTTATAGGTGGCTAGCAGAGTATGTCAATGTCAGTCTTAAACAACGTAAATTGGAAAAATAAGTAAATTGAAAGAACACTTCCGTTGAAGTAATTGATGAATTCAGCATGTCAATTACTACTCAAAAAGGTTAAAAATTCTTACATGATTTCATTTCGATCTCATCACACTATTTTATATCCAGTTTGTTATCTTAATGATACTTATTCAGGGTGTTTCTTTTGAGGATTCACACTTGTTGGGTCATTTTATTTTCTGAACGCTTCCCTACCAAGAAAAGAAAAATGTCCCGAAATTATACTTTTCATTATTTGATATGGGTAAGGGAGTTGATTCGTTTGCCTGACCAATCGATAAGGAGTTGGCTAGGATTTTGATTATAGCTCTATTGAGGGAGAGGGGGGGGAATATATTTTCTTGTTGGATCTAAGAATCTGTTTACAATCGCACTTATAAACTATACTCCTCTGTCCCAAAAGAAAATGGTCCATATTGTATTTCAAATTTGTTCTAAAATAGTACAAATCTCAAAACTCAATGTGGACTACTTTTTTGGGATAGAGGCAGCAATTTTCTAGGGTTTACTTTTGACATTGTCATCCAGTCTGACCGGGTCTATTCCATGACCCCTTAGCTCAGTGGCTTTGCCATCAGTATAGGTTTGACAAGCATCATCACAATTACAAACCACAGAGAGAAGCTTTTAGTATTCTAATGCTTAGCTTTAAACCCAATTGAGATTGTTATGCTAAAATTGTTTCATTGATGTGGAATGTGATGCTGTGTTACTTGTAATTACTAGGTTTTTCCAACCATCTACATAAATTTCTGATGAAATGTTTTCCTTTCAGGCCTTGTGTTTTATTTTGTGCATTGAGATATGCAAGATTGCAAATCCCTATCGTGTATCTGCCTGCATTAGCTTTTTTTGCTTGCTGTTTCTAAAAGAATCTTTGTGTTTTTTTACATTTCCTATTAATATTATGTATAGGTCGAGCCTGACAGGGACATATGATCCATATAACCGACTCCACATAATGAGAGAAGTGGTAGTTGTTGTTGTTGTTGTTGCTGCTGCTGCTGCTGTTGGGTAAATGTCACATAATCTTTCTGTGAAATTTAGTCGAACTTTTAACTTTTGATAAGTTAGAGTTGAAATCTCAATGCAAACTCTTGGGGATGAGAAGGTATTTTTATTGGGTCTAATAAAGAATTTTTGGTTATATGTTTAATCCCGAAAGATCAAATAAATTGGTGCCATAATGTGAGTTCTCTTTGTATTCATTGTTAATTCTCTGTACTGTCCCTGGAACTCTGCATAGTTAGGACATCCAAGTATCCCTGTCTGCAGTTCTTCTTTCCCCTTGAACCCTTAAGCAAAATTTAAAATAGGACAGAGAAAATAAGGAATTTGATTCCCCTTGTATTTTCAACTTTAGCCTAATACTATACGAATGAGACATTCTCTTCGTGTTAGTCTCTCCTCGTTGTTTTCATTGAGATTCTCTGTGCGGTTCCTGGGTCTCACGAAAGTCGGGAATTTTAAGCTTCTCTGAGCTCTATATCTCTTTTCCCTCAAATCTCAAGGGATGAGTTAGCTCTGTGTTTATAATCTGCTAGATGGACTGACCATTTATGAGATTAAATTAGGGGAGGAATGTCCGAATTTTATTCTAATGTATCTTGCTCTAAAGTTATCTGATAGTGATATTTCAATGTACTGGGTGGTATTTTTCTATTTAATCACAATTGGATCACAATTTCTGGAGTCGTTTATTATATTATTAGTCACATTTTATAAAAGTTCTCCTTCCCTCTATAGCAGCTAAAGCCTTTGAAACTTACTGTGCAACGCCAACAAGACAATTAAAATTTTTGCTCAAGTTTACTAATATCCTTGCTGACTTGCTCTTGTTCCCTTTTATTTGTAGGCTGAGCAACGTCTATATTCTGGATCTCATTAAGAAGTATCATATGCCTTCTGATACCTGAAACTGAGATGGTTCTGTATATCGTTTGGTTCTTTTAATGAGTGCATGTATCCTTAAACTGGCAGAAGATATGGCTGACATTGAAACTCTAGTTGTTCACAGAAGATATGGATCTGGAGAATGAGGTATTTGTTCTTACTGATCAAGTGACAGTGCAGCTCGGTGAAGTTCTTGACACACTTAAAATTCTAAATAAGGAGCAGCTAGTGGATCCTCTGATTTTCACTCAGACTTCATTTGAGGAGTAATTCTCTTTTCTCTTTTTGTGAACTTGTTGGTTAAATCTCCCCCTCTCCTTTTGTTCTAGTACATCTGTATCCCTTCCTGAGATGAATGAACATTACTCTTACTCTGATCTTTTATCCTACGTCCAATCCTTACGGGCTTTAGCCACAATTCCCATTGCCCAGGTTGTTACTATGTGAATTAATTACATTCACAGAGTTCTTTGGATATGTGCCCGCTGTTTGGTTGATCAAGTTGAATGACTTTTCATGTTTTATTCCTGTTTTCCTTATCAGTAACTATCAGTTTCTGCTTTTAGTTGCAGAGTTAAGATTCCGCCGGTAGTTCTTCTTTGGTTACTTATCTTAAGTAAGCTGGTTGTATTCTCATGACTGTAGGTTATGTTCTGAATGTGTGGTCGGTGGAGCGATTATTCCCCTAATGTTCAATCTAGTTGTGGACTCCCTAGAAACTATGAATATATTGCTGTTTTTCTTTATTTAACTTCCTGCCATCATTTGGATTAAAATATGAAACTTGATAGTTCATGGAATGGTGTTGCATGTAATGAAGTCCAATGTCCTTTTGTTGTACAAACAATTAGAGCAAGGTTGATGCTTTCTATGGGTTAACCTTAATCTGGGGAACTTATTCAATATATCCTTGCACTGAAACTAGATGAAACAGAAACATTTCAGGAAAAGAATAGATGTCCTTCCTGGATTTGACAACATTTTATGGTGTTTTTCTGCCTAATGAGTATTGAGTAGGTAACTTCCTAGTTTGACTTCTGGGTATCACCTGGTTTTTTAAGTAAGGCTTGCAAATCTTTAGGATTCTTTAGTGGACAGCTTATATTGTCTCGAGGATTTGGTTATGTAACGCCAGAAATGCAATAGAACTTCTTTCTTCCTTTCTGTTGGTTTCTCTGGTTTACATCTACTCCAGCAGAGGTGCACTGCCAGTAAAAACTGCATCGAAAGATCTGATTGTATTTATCTAAAAACATCTACGCTTCTTAGTGATCAGTCTATTGAGCAGGTATCAAGAGTATTAAAGCCTGGTGGAAATGTGTTAGTAAGTAAAGGTTTTGCTTTTGCTTTTTAATTACTCCAGGTATTGACTATTCGCAGTTCTCTTGCTTGGGATGTTATAGCCGATGAGTCTTCTCTTGAATGCCACTTACTCTTAGCTGGTTCATTGGATTTTAAATCAATTGAAGCTGGTCATTCTATTGGGGTAAGTCTTCTAAGATCCTTGCAATTGTTCCATTTTCCATGCCCATAGTTTGTCTCATGTTTCTGTGTGGTCAATGCTATGTATATCAGCTGATCTCCCCTAAAATATGCCTTTCTGTAAATTGTTTATTTCTTCATCTTTTGCAACTAAACTTATTGTTCAACATATTGTTTGCAGAAAGGCTTCTTGGGAAATTCTTCCTTTCCACAAAGAAGCATGCAAAAACTTTACCTATACTCCAGTTTGATGATGATGGTGACTTGATTGATGCAGATAGCCTACTCACAGAAGATGATGTGAGGAAACCACATTTTCAGGTTGGTAAGACTATCATTTTGCGGTGGTTGCTTTCCATCGTAGACTGTTGCTTTCATAGTTTCTATCATTGAGCTTAAATTCAAACTATAGGTAATCTGAAGTTGGAAAAATAAGGAAAGCTTGCAGAAACTGCACTTGTGGTCGGACTGAAGCTGAGGAGAAAGCACAGGAGATGTTAGGACTTACTGTCGAGTGTGGACCTGCTTGCAAATCCTCAGTCTGCTTGCCGCAATGTGTGTATAGTTATTTCAAAACTACATTTCAAACACCCAATAGCAAAAGGATCTTTGTTATTGTGCTAGACTGTTAACCTGTTCCTTTACTCTGGAGTCTGGACTGTCTCTCCCCTGGCAGAATCAACCAATTATTTTATATGATGATTTCTACCTGAGTGAAAGAATATTTGTTGCTTTAAATTGAGTTTAAATCACTTGTCGTGATCGTCATCACCCTCTGTTAATTTAGTTGTGGAATAAGTTTTAATAAGTACACTCATCAGTGGATGTCTGCTTCATTTTGCATTTGTTTAGAATACTTCCACCGGTTAGAGCAATCTGTGATACTGCAATTTAGCTATTGTCACATAGACGAAAGGAGCTTACATAGGGTGGTGACTCCCCACAGGGTTTCTTCTGTCGGACAAAAACTTGTTTAGTCTCTTATTGCATTTTCAGCATTCCTGTGAAAATCTGAGCTTACTTGAATCTGGTTGGTTAACTAGTGTATATATTTCGTCCCAAATCATTCTTTCTTTATCGGCACTGGATGTTATAGATTTGCGCATAGTTTGACTTTTGCTTGTCGCTGGACAGAAAACTTGTATTGATCTGTCCCTGGTACAATGCAGCGCGGTCTTGGAGATGCTTTCTGCAGTAGCGCATGCCCTTACAAGGGTCTTCCTTCTTTTAAACTGGGCAAAAAGGCAAGTATTGCTTTTTGCGATTAGAGTTGTATGCTGCCTGGTTTTGTGATTTTTTCCCCCCCTCCCTATGGGTGCATTTTTTAAATTTTGGGGATTTATCTAATTGAAAGTTCCATTTGTTAGTTGGATCACGTCTGTGCTTTTCACCATTTTTCTCTAAATTTTGTAGATTTGTGTTGTCATTACATGTATTTAGTTAGCTCAGGGATTGTAAAAGGCATCTCAATCCGGTTGAATGCACTAGAAAAACAACCCAGCCAATCTAAAAACGTTTTTCTGCTGACGTGTGATTACCATGAATTTTAAGCCCAAATATTTAATTCTTGCTGCAACCCCTTTGAAGAAATAGAAATTAAATCGGATGGGATTCGTATGTAGTTGTTCAGTGGTGGTATTTAGTTGTTCGGTCGCCCTTTTAGGATTAGTATGAACGGGTCATTTTAGTTTTGATCTTCATCCATTGAGTTAACGCGGAATCTACATTAGGATCTACTCCTGCGCTTGCGACGTTTCAATAACTATATGGGGACTTTGACATATAGAATAATACAACACATGAATTTTAATCATTTTGTATCAACTATGTTTATACATAAAGAAGTAAGGCCACAAATTGGCCTGCATATAATTTCAATCCTGACTGTATAAACATTATTCATGATCATAACTAAAACCATAACCAAAGCCAGTGTGAGCAGCAAGTACCTGAAATCTGTCTTTTATCCGATTCAGTACCAACTGAAACGTCTCCTTGCTGAGGAGAAGTAGTTAGAAAGTGAATTGGGGTATTCGCGGGTCTTATATGAAAGACCCGAGGGATCAGAAACGATCGGTACGGGCCTAAGTTTATAAGGTTGACGTACATTCTGGCTTCCATTTTCGACATAAGGGGCAGTGCGATTTCGTCGCTGCAACAGCTTAGCAACCGTCTGTTTGAATTTTTCTTGGGTGACATCTGCTCCGGCAAGGATAGTAGCCACCGTGTTGTTGAGGAAGAAGATGATGGTGGCTGCCGCGTCGTAAGAGAGTTCAAACCTGGCCACAAGTTCTGGTACACTCTCGTTTTCCACTATATATATTACTGCATCTTTCTCATCCAGTCTCTTTGCTTCCTCCTCTAACCATTCATCTACCTGCCGAAAAGACATCCAATTTTGACTATAAGAATCACCAACAAAAATTTCAAACAACAAAATTAAAAATAGTGATATCTCCATCCGTCCTAAATTAATTGTCTAAATACAGCCTAGATGATCATTTTAAGACTACGAATAATAGTTTTTTTTTTAAAAAAAAGAATGGGTTGATTAGTTTACCTCTTCGCATGTTGGGTCATCTTCATTCCCAAATCGGATGATTACTATGTGTTTCTTTCTGGTATTGATAGCTTCGTCGACTTTAAACGCTCTGTGAAGCCTAATCAGTGATTTCTCTGCTCCAGAAGAAGAAGAAGAAGGTAAAGCCATGAGGCTGAAGTTCAACAATTGATTTTGTATGAAATCAAGGTAAAGCATAAAAGTATTCCTCTACAAATGAACCAACTTGCAGAGATTGTATTGTTGGAGTCTATGTATATGCAACTAATTCTTGGGGTATCTTTGTGTTTGGGGGAAAAAAAAAAATTATCCGGATCAAATGAAAACTAGTTTGTGTAGTAGATGCTTGCTCATTTAGGAGAATTTATAGTTTTTGTGTTACACGAATCTTAGTTTTTCTCCAGTTGCGTGTACAAATTTTACCATAGTTATCGATTTATATCTTTCATGCATGACATTGAAAAAGTATTTCCACTAAGAAAGAATCGGATTCAAAAATTGAAAGTGTGAACAAAATTTTTAGTTAGTTAGCTTAATCTTCAAAGCATCTGATTCCAAAGTAAAAGTAGGGATACTTTTGCTTTTAATCTTTATGTTTTAGTTAGGTGTGAATTCTCTTATTCCTTTTTGGTAGTTTTAGAGCCTTTAAAAATATTTCTTCCACATGCAGGAACGTTTTGCCAGCAAAGTATCGTCAATCATCAATAACTAAAATTCTTTTCACTCCAAAAATGGAAAAGAGAAATATTTGTGATGTCAATGAGGTGCAATTTACTAGATGAGATCCTTATGAAAAGAAATTCTTTTTTTTTTCCATGAAATTTGTTTGAGCGGTCAATCAGTATATATGTCTTTTTTTTAAAAAAAAAAAAAAATCTATTCCAGTGAGCCTCACTTAAATATAGATAAAACCCCTAGTAGATTCATAGTCACCATATATTAGCGCCAACAAAACGCACCTTTTCTTTTCAAAGAAATGAAGAAAAAATTACTTGTTCTTAAAACTGCACGCCGCAATGGTATAGATTAATTAGTTCCTTTCTGCAAAACCAAGTGTTCTTTTAAACATTTCAATGTGCCCACTAAATAAATACAGTGTAAGCATCATGAATCGAAGCCGCTGGTTTGGAGTTTACCCGGTTGATCATGGTATGAAATTTTGTCACGGTGATACGACATGCATGCCTTCTCTCCTTCTGTTGTTAAATACTCCCTCCGTCGCATAATTATTATCCAATTTTACTACAATAAAAGATTTTATTTTTGGTCAAACTTAACTATATTTTACCTTAAACAACGGATATACCCCTACATAAGTAATTGTTTAACCACAAAGATTTTATGGATAATGTTTTTTACTAAGGACAAATGTGTAACTTCATTCATAAAAAGTCAAATTGGATAATAATTTTGGGACAAAATTTTTTGGACAAAGTGGACAATAATTATAGGACGGAGGGAATATATAAGAGTCTCATTTCCTAACACTAAAACAATTTGATAACTTTTTTTTTTTTTAAAAAAAAGAATTGTATATTTTCTTTAATCAGGTTGGTATGCATGCATGAATGCACTCACAGCGTCGCGAATATTCGGCATAATAAATATTTCCTTTATCCAATATGTGACGCTTTCTTTTGATTCATGTCTCGTTGATTGATCATGCTTCTTGCCGTAGGGAACATCAATGTTTTCTTTATGATCGCCCAAGCTTTCTTTTTATAAAGCTTCCGTGATGCATGTGTCGAAATTCGTACTATTAGTTAAATCGATTGATCTTAATCACCTGGACCATGTTGCGTATGAAAATATATGGGGTGATAATCAAAGAGACAACACAAAAGATACTAAAAAATAAAGATGAAAGATTTATAAATTTTATTGTTAGAAACTTGAATCTAATAATAATGGGGGAATCACAAGATTTGGATGTGTTCTAATCGTGTTAGACACTGTTCTTAAGATAATATTTGCCCTCTTCATATTACAATACCAGGTTTGTTTGACAATTTGCCTCTAAGCCATAAAGAACACAAGAACATGCAACTTGCAATTATTGAATGTTTACAAGAATTTAGAATGCAAAAGTTAGAATGAAATCCTGCACACTTATTTATAGGCAACACTTGCAGAAACAAAAGATACAAATTAAGTACACAACCCTTGGATTGTAAGAAGAAACAACCATGCAAGTGAAGGGTTGCCAACTTAATTATTATCCTTAGATTCTAAATTAATTATTTTATTTTACAAACCAAAATTTCCAACATTCCCCCACTTAGTTTGTAATATAAAATAATTACACAATCATGAGAATCGCGTTTAAGAAATGGTAACTTTCGTCTTAAACCACATCATAGTGAAATTAAGTCACCTAACTAGCTAAGTTATTGGTGGCTAGTTGCTTAAACCAATAATCAGTCTAGTATAGACTTAATAATGCACGCACAAACACTCATAATATTCCTCATAATTCACATTATGATTTAGCACTATTACCGGCCATATGCTCATCCTAGATTCTTGATTATATACAAAAGATAATCTCAAACTTTTGCTAGATGCAGCACCACCTCTATGATCAAATATGTGGAAGTTATTCCAGTTTATTACGACCGTAATGAAACACTCAGGAATAATTCCATTAAGAGATTTCTCTCAATTATCTATAAAAATGACAAAATTTTTCTTGCTTTCCTTAGTTTAAAATTATTGAGTTCACATACAACAAAGTGTTGTACCAGCAATAACTTCCAACTTTTATTTGAAAATAATCTTACAACCATGGCTTATGCATATGTTTCACATTTTATTATTAAAGCATTTGATACTAATTAATTTATATCTTATACAGATATATAATACCTTAGCAGCCACAAATAATAAAAATGTCCAAGCATAACACCATATCAAATGCATTGATATTGACCAAAACAATGCAAAAGTAAGCACTACCAATTCAAAAAGTTTCATTGCAAAAGTAATACTTGGCTATCAACTAAGGTCACAACCTTAATGTGTCATTTGGATTACTAGACATGACTTTCACTCTTGTCTTTTCACTTTGAACCAATTGACGTATTCTTTCAAATATGTCTTTCACTTGGAACTAGTAGGCAACTCATTTTATTTGTATTTTGTCACCTAGAATCAATATATACAACTTTAACTTGTATCATGTCAATTGAACTCACAAGACAAAGACACTTAACATATCTCTATTCATCCAAAGATCAAGAAATCACAACTTTCCACAAAAGTTGTCGATTTCGGTTCACCATAACCATACTTTTGCATTGCTATGAGAAACTTTCACATGTATAAAATATTTAGTTATATACATACCATCAAATTTTTAGAACCAAAATTGTCCAAAAATTATTGGAATATAGGTATATTTTTCTGTCGTCAACTTTTCTGTCGACTCTCTTAGCTCGACGACAAAGTCGACAAAACATTATGACAAACTATTCTATTGAAGTTGACTTTTCTGTTATCCTTACAAAATCGACGACAAAGTCGACAAACAGAATAGTGAGTCATTCTAATGGCACGTCGACTTTTCTGTCCACTTCACCAAGATTGACAACAAAGTCGACAGAACCAAACATAAAAATATAACACATTCCAATAGGGATTGACCCTTTTGTCGACTCAAAATGAACGACGATAAGATCGACGGACACTAACATAATATATTTTTACATGCAATCAAATTACAGTTGTTATAATTATATATTTTTTTAACCCAATTGGCGTTATTAGTTTGAATAACAAATACTCACAACTCTTCACATAAATGGCTATTTTAACACAATTATAATGATATGTCTTTCACATTTCTTAAAACTAAGAAATTCAAGAAAAAAATTCATTGCATGTTTGTTTTTTCAACAAGATTCACTTTAAGATCACTAATAAATAATTATTGTAAGATCTTAAATACAGATTAATCCACATAATTTTCACAGCACTATATTTGGTTAATACAAAAAAAAAAAACACAAATCTACAAACTTTTAAATTATCATAATGGATTAATTTACTACTAATTCAGTAATTTCTAATAAAACATTTAACACAAAGTTAATGCGTATAAATCAAAAACTTATCTGATGTATACTCACTTAAGTACTCTAGATCTTTCTTGTCTTCAGAACTTGACTACGAAACTAAACCGTAGGAAAATCATTTTGAGCACACCCAAAAATCTATATGTTGTAAAATCCATCTTCATTGTTTTTAACCATCTTTGATCCTAGTCTCCTTGAATACTTGTATCAATCCACGGCTATAATATTGTCTTAAGAATGAAAATATATGGGGGTGGTAATCAAAGAGAAAATACAAAAGATACTAAAGACTAAAGATGAAAAATTTATAAACTTTATTGTTAGAAACTTGAATCTAACAATAATGGGGGAATCACAAGATTTGGATGTGTTCTAATCGTGTTAGACATTGTCTTTAAGACAATATTAGCCCCCTCCATATTGCAATACCGGGTTTGTTTGGCAATTTGCCTCTGAGACATAAAGAATATAAAAACATGCAACTTGCAATTATTGAATGTTCTCAAGAATTTAGAATGCAAAAGTTAGAATGAAAACCTGCACTAGTTCACCTATTTATAGGCAACGCTTGCAGAAACAAAGGATACAAATTAAGTATACAACCCTTGGCTTGTGGGAAATAACCATCATACAAGTGAAGGGTTGCCAACTTAATTATTATCCTTAAATTTTTACAAACTAAAATTTCCAACAACGTATTGGTGTGATAGCTTGAGTACTCATGTACATTTTTTTTTTAAATAGGCATGTATTTAATTCAATTTTTCTAGGAATAAATTACACAGATATAGTGTTGTTGAATGTAAACTACACACATAAAATATAAAGAATAAAAGATATATCCAGTTAAAATAAATGTGGAAATGAGAGAAAAACTAATACATCACATGCATGTGTGGTGATTGTTATTTTAGCACGAATCACTACCCCATTTTTTTGGTTAAGGGCGGAAAAAAATCTCTTGAAATAATCTAGAAAGCATTTTACCAAAGTATAAGTATTGGACGAATGTGATTTCTCGTTCCCGTAGTTTCCTATAAATTTTTACTTTCACTTGTTTTTTTTTTTTTCGTATAAAGGGAAACGAATTATTGCGTTGTTCTTGTAATACTATTGTTCTTTTTGTTCTTAGGGTGGGTGCTCCTATCATTAGTTTAAACATGCATGCACTCCTTTCTGTTTTTATATTACACATATACTAATTAATAGTCATGGTAAAATGATATTGGTCATTTAGGAGATACAATTATACTCCCACTCCCGTATTTAATATAAGGCATTTTGATTTATCCTAGGTTTAATCTAGTACGTATTTTTAATTGACAAAAAAATTTTAAAAACATTTCATAACAATCAAGAGGATATACCGAATGTAAAAATATATTTTTAAGGTTTTTTCGTCAATTAAAAATGTGTAATATGTAAAACCTAGGACGAAATCAAAATGTCTTTTATTAAGGACCGGAGCGAGTATTATGATATGTGGAATACATTCCAGACATTGAGGAACCAAGGAAACAAAAAAGGAACCCTGATAACTAATTAGATTCCATGAAACTGTTAATGTACTACATAACTCATAATCCAAATCAAGAGGCAGCACAATTTTCAAGTAATGCAACAACTGGATCGATGAAAAGATGTGCATTTTAAATACTGTAAGTGATCTCTTGTTTATATCGCATAATTTAAATTAAATGTACGTTACAAAATGTGTACGCAAAAATGCGCATTACAAAAACAGAATCTGGACTTTATGTACAATAATGAATTCCGATCAATCAAGCAATGTCATCGGACATGAAGGGTTTGGCACAATTATTGATGCAAAACCCAAGAAGTGTACGATGATGATGATGAGTACGGGTAATCATAGGTCCTTGAAAAATGCCAGGTCCAGAAGTAAATATTAGGGTTTGAAAAAGCAAAGGAAGTTGCAGCCTAGTGAAAAGAATCACAGGGAAACAAGCCACAATAGTGAACGGAATGTAAGCCCAACTAACCCTAGTTTGAAGCGCCAAACCAATGGCGGTACCAAAACCAATCATCATCGTTGCCACCGCAATGAAAAGAGAAAGGAGGCCTTTAAGCAGAGTCCTCGGGAGGGATTCTATGAAGTCTTCTTCCGAATATCTCGAGGTCTGGATGGACAAAAACATTAGGAGCGAAATGGCCGAGGATATCATCGATACCGCATCCGATATGCAAAAGACCATGAACAGTTTGGTCTTTGAGAGGATCGGCCGGCCGCTTCCACCGTCGTTCCCGCCCGGTACGGTGATCATGGCCGCAAATGCGACCGTTGCGACTAATGTAGCCACCACCATGCACGAGTTTGAGGTGTCCTTCAGCCAGTCTTTTGCGTTCTTCATAAGAGGTTCATGATTCTCGAAGAAAACCTCTCTTGGGGTTTTGTTTTCAATATTCTTGGCTACCCTTTTCTCATCATAAACTAATGCTTCCACTGCCTGTTCCAATCACATCAATCATCATCATCTATGTGAGAATAAATTGAATTAGTGAACAAAATACTTTCTCTATTTCAAAATAAGTGTCCAAGTTAAACTTTCTACCTTTACAACGAATATGTAGCCAGGAAGAGGACCACTAGAAATAGTCGCCCCTAAATTTTTTTTTGTTTAAAGACCATCAAATTTGTTAGTGTAAATATTTTTGATGACCTATAATTTCGTTTCTGAAAAAGAAAAACACTTTTTTTTTGCTCTCTTGAAGAGTTTTTGATATTTTCCCCTCTACCTTCCTTACATCATGACTCCATTAATTCATACTGAAAGTACACAATCAAAACTAAACAATTATTTTGGTATAACGGGAGTAATAGTCATGAGTGTGGTACCTTAAACCATTGTAGTTCTCGTTGCATCTGAAATGCAGGACCACGAACAGAATGGAGTTGAGGAGTAGGAGCCAAATTTGCAGCTAAATGAAGGATGTTGTTTTTGTCTTCGTCTTCGACATCGGCATAAGCTTTTGTATTCTCACCAATCAATTCGATTATGTGGTTGAAGATCAACGGCCTTCGGTGCTCAATGGCCACATGCAGCAGCTGCCTCTTGTCATTGTTTGCATACCAAATTAGGTCAGGGAAATAGTTCAAACACACTTGAACAAGTTCATAAACTCCATGCTCCGTTGCTAGATGAAGAATTTCCGGTGAATCGGATTCCGAAGGCAAAAAGTATTCCAAGATCTCTGATTTAGATCTCTTTTGTAGTATCTTGCAAATGAAATGAACAAGATTTAGTGCATCCTGATGCTCTTTCTGCCTAGCAAAGTGTCCACGGCTCTTCCCTACATTGTTAAGCATATAAAAATCCATATTTTGTTAATCATCAATGATCGAGCTCCACGCCATCTACCCAATTTCTCTTAAACAACAAAATTTGGGGCATTTCAGTTTCATATTATTACTCCCTCCTATTATTATAATAAGATTTTTTTAATCTTTCTCTTGGTCGTATTTATAAAACATATGGTGTATTTATAACTTACGTTATTGAAGTGGACTAAATTTTAACTTAATTAATATTTTATATTTTTTTTATCTAGGAAATGTGGGGACCATTATAACATTGGTAATATATGTAGTTCACTAATAAATTACTGACATGAGTACTTTCATTAATTTGTGAAAAGTAGTTATTTGTGCTTTATATTAAGAATAGACCATTTTTTTATATTCTTTTCATTCCGAAATATTTTCCAATTTAAGATTTTATTTTACTTACAAATTATACTAAAAATAAAAATTTAAATTGGACAATTATATTATTGAGACAGAGGGATACAATTCTCAATAATCAAACGAACTATTAATATGGGACGTTGGGAGAGAACGAACTAATCAATCAAAGAGATTACTCACCTGGATGAAATAGCCTCTCCATGGGGTCATTCTCACTTCCACTGTGAAATAATGAAGGTTGCATGGCCAAGATATGAAGTATAGACATTTCATTATGATTCTTTCTCAAAGATAATTCAGGATGCCTTTGAAGTATACGCAAAACGATATCTGCATCAAGGATAAACGAAACCCACATCAATCAAACAATACAAACTAAATGTGATGATGAATTAGCCATATGTTCTTTAGGGAAAAAAAAAAAATCTAATGTCTTCATGCACACATAAAGTATAAATCTCAACTTGGTGTCACGTCTACATTTGGTTACTCGTACAAATCATAGTGAAAAGTAAAGTCGAATAAAGAGTAGAGAACAAAATATTATACCATGGCAACGTGAAGCTGTGATTCCCACAATGAGATTAGCAGCGGAAGGATAAGTGTAAGTGTAACAAGGCGGTTCGTCTTTAGTCACTAGGTAAAGATATTCCAACATCTCCTTACTCTTGGACGGATGCCGCCATCGGGCGGCGTAAAACAACGGCGTATACAACTTCATATCTCCGATTTGAGGCAGATCCGGGTTCTTCCCCACCATAGCTCTGGCTGCTTCTTTGCTTGCGGCCAAAGCGACATGGTGAAGTGCTGTGCGGCCTAATTGATCGCGAGATTCAAGCTGTTGCGGAGTTAGGAGTTTCACTAGCTCCACGACAAAGCTTGATCGCCCGCAACTGGCCGCCACGTGCAACGCTGTCATGCCGAGGCTCGAGATTTTTGCGATCTTCGCGTTCTCGTTTCTCTGCAGGATCATCCTGGCTTGTCCCCAATCCCCTCTCATTGCTGCATTGTGCAGTTTCTGCAGTTCTATTTCTTGCTGTATTTCTATTTTAGAAAAATAAAATAAAATTGTAACATGTAACTAATTTACTAAGTTCTTGCTGCAATTCTTAATAATTATGTTTAGAAAATGGGTTGAAAGTGAGTATACAAGTCCTACACTAGTAATTAACGTGCATAAGAGCATATGTGAATATATACTTACCGGATTCAGGAAATAAGGAGGTATCACCATCAATTCCTGTGAAATTAATCTCCATTTCATCAACAGATAACTCTCTCTCTTCATCCATCTAAAAGTACTTAGTGTTTGTAGTGTGAGTTGAGAACAAAACAAATCACATGATTTTATCAAATTAATTTGCTTGTGCTTGGAGTGATACGTAAGCATTCCTTCTTCACATATAGGAAAGGAATTGGTCACCAAGCTTGTGATTTGGGCTAATTCACATTCTTTACTCACATGGCTAAGGTAATCACTTTCTTAATTGGATGCTTTGAATTGTCTAACAAAAGCGACTAAATTAAATACGGATTCTTTTTTAATGTAATTACTTTGTGTCCGGATCGTGTTTGTGTATATCTATATCTAATTCTTAAGCTAACGCATCAGGTAATTGCTCCAACTTGCCTTACCAGGTCTGGCATGCAAGAAGCAGATTAATTTAATCAGGAAACAAGTTGCAAGTTTATTTTGCCTATGATTTTTTTTTTATTCTCTTTTTAATCATAACCGAACCAATGCTAGTTTTGGATGATAAATTGAACATTAACTAGTTCTAGTATTCGTTGCACGTTGTGCGACACATTCTATAAATAAAATGATAGCATAGTCTACAGGGTTAGGAAACATGTGGTACAGGTTAAAATGAAAAGATTGAATCGGAACATGTTTCGCAATAAATTTGGCAAGAGTGTGTAAAGGAATTAAGCTAAGAAGTGAGAAAACGCTGAAGCAAATCATTTAACCAGAGTATGGAAAAGGCAACAAAACAGCACTAGTTCAAAAGTTTGAAACCACGCAGAGTAAAGCGACAGTGAAAACGAAAAGGCAGCAATACAAAGCAGAAAAAGGCAACAGACATTTAAAAGCAGGAAAAAGAAAACTTTAACTCAAGAAATAACGGAACTCGCCATTTTCATATATATTCTCATAAAAAAAAACTGTATATTTAAGGCTCCAGAGTGATGAATATATAGTATGAATCAGAAGGGGTTCAAAACTTTGTTCTCATTAAGTATCACCATTAGTAAAGACACAAAAATGAGTTCCCGCCACCAGCTGAAACCCCTGCAGTCTGTCAACGTCATAGTAAATCCTCTGGCAATTCTTGAAGTTGGCCAAATTCTTTTCCTAATTTTTGGAAAGGGTTTCTTTACTGGACATTTCACGCTATTGCTCCTCCACTGAGACATCATCCAACCATTTCTTTATCTTGTTCCTACTGCCTTTGTCGCCTCTGTCAAAGTAAAATATATGTATGAACATTCATTATAACCAATGAAGAAAATATGAAAGGTCTACTTTATAGTTCAAAATGCAACAAGCAATGAAATATCAGCCCAAAGGATGTTGACTTTGTAAGTTGCTCTGCTTCTGTAAAACCAGCAGAGCTGGCCATATTAACTTCGAGCCTCCATTACTTGACCGATTGCAAATCTAAAAATGGTGAATTGTAGAAGTAAACTGTAAACTCCCGCCAGATGCGGATTGCAACGCTGACGGCTAAGTAACGACTACCAATAAGTAAAGAAATCTAATTCAAACAGTCTCGAAACTTGATAACCTTACATAACTTACCCCAATTAAGCAGGCTGAGTAACGACTTATTAAAAGCAACAAAAAGTTTCGGCTTTATCTAAATACAGCTACATTGAGAAGTAAATAAACGTAAAAAAGAAATTGGCAACCTAAATTCAATCTAATCAAAGAAAATAAATGATAAACAAAATAGGGGAATTACATGCTACAAAAACCTGTCAAAATTGAACTAAGGATTTTGAATTGGTTAAATCAGAAAATACAAATCATACAATAAAACTAGATACACGTTTACAGAGAATTTATCGGAAAACAGTGATTGAATTTTTGTTCTCTTAATCCCAAATTTTACAGCTGGTGGATTCTCCCCGGAAATTGACAGTTGTCCGTAATCCTTGTACCCATATTTTTTTTCAACAAAACAGAGAGACCAATCAAACTAGGTATAAAAAGCCACAACACACAAAGAAGGTATACATCTAAGATGAATATTATGACTTTATATACCTAATAGATGGCATTTATATTACTATAAAATCAATAAAAAGAGGACAGCGTATAGTTTAATCCTTTACAAGGTTTGCAATACTCAACTAAGTAAATAGGGAAAGGTCATTTGATCAAGGATCAATAGTCCCTTCACATAGCTTGAAAGCAAAAAAAAGCTATTAAAAATTGAAGTAGCTCCTTTTGCTGCCTCCTTAGCTAAACAACCAGTAACTGCATTCCCTTATCTGTAAATATGAATGATGGAAAAACCATTCCGATCTAAAATGGCACTCATCTCCACCATCTCCATTTAATGCTTCCATGGAAACCCAGCTTTCTTTCTCAGAATATCATAAATTATTTTGTTATCAGTTTGAACCACTACATTAGAAAGATACAGGAATTCACATTTTTGCAAGCCAAATAAAATACCATATATTTCTGATTGAAAGCAATCACAATTTCCCAGATATCCACATTCTCCGTACACAAAGTTACCTCCCTCTCACCGAATGACAAATCCATAACCAGCACCACTTACACTAGAGGATCCATTAGAATTCAAGATAGAAGAATTTGGAGCTGGCGGAATCCATCTCACCGCTTGTGACTTCCTTCGAGGTTACCGAGATAAATAAACCGAACAAATTAGCAATGAAAACTTTTTCAGCTTCATCGCCAACCTTCACATCATGCACATCCAACAAATCTTGAGTGGTAGTCAAAATGGAATGAAAAACAGAAGATAAAACTGGCATAGAACCTTCAAAGATCATTCTTTTTTCTTGCCTTCCAAACCTATCAAAGAATAAATATGGGAAATAAGTTATATAACGATCTTTTAGCAGTAGTGAAGGAACCCTTTCTCCACCATCTTTTCAGCAGCCCTAAAAGATTAGTATGCCCTCGAACATCAATACGCATGACAAGAGCAAAATGACATATTGATGCCGTAAATTCACAACTATAGAAGCAATGTGTGATACTATCCGATTGTCGACAACATAAAGGACATAGTGATGGATTAATCACAATGCCAAAGCTACCAAGTATTTCAGGAAAAGGGAGAAAACCATTGCGCAACTTCCATAAGAAAAAAGAGATGCGAGAAGGCACTAACTTGTGCCATATGTTTCGCAACATTGGATCAAAATTTTGGTGGCTGCGAAGAGCATCATAAGCCAATTTTATCGAAAAAATACCTTGGAGAGAACTCTGCCAAAAAATTACATCCTCTACAAGTGAAAAAGAGATTTCCATATTCTCCAAAAAAAAAAAACCAAGGTATAAGGAGCAAGTACTTCATGAAATTCGGCCAAGTACAAACTCTTATGATCAAAGAACTCCCGAGTGGTGAGGCCGGAAAAAGGCGGATGAACAAGATTTTGATCCCAAAGAATGCCAAGAGGAGCCCAATTATCAAACCAAAATGATCTTTCTCCTTTTAGCACTATTACCTTAGAGAGAGCAGCTACTTTTGGTGCGACTTTCACAACCCTAGACCATGAGGTTTTTTCCTTAGCCGCATTTGATAATGAGAGAAGAAAAGAGCTCCAAATGTCTTTTTTATGTTTCACTTTCTACCATAATTTAGTCGTTAGTGCTTCTATTACATCATGAAAACTCCTCAACCCAAGTCCATTTTCCAATAAGAGAAACGTAATTCTATTCCATGGACGCCAATGACATTTCCTCTCATCATTGGGACCATCCCAAAGGAGCTTTTGGCATCTTTTTTCCATTTTTTTGTAAAACCGTTTTTGGAGGAGGAATTGCTGAAAAGACATGCAGGGCCATTGAGGACAAGACATGCCGAATTAACATCAAACTTCCACCCGGCGACAACAACTTATTCTTCCAATTGAGGAGCTTGGAATCAATGGCATCTAAGAGGAATTGAAAGGTAGAGACCTTTTTCCTTCCTTGAAACAGGCGACAGCCTAAGTAAGCAAAGGGGCATGCACCTTTTTGAACGCCCAAGGTTCTCTTAATCATCTCCACTCTTCTAGGATTACATTTTCCCGAAGTTACAAAAAAACTTTTCTCCCGGCTGATTTTTTGACCTATTGCAGTCTCATATTGAAGAAAGAACAAATTAATTTCACGTAGCGATCTCTTTAGACCCTTGGAAAAGATTATAAGATCATCCGTGAAAAATAGGTGAAAAACCACCAAAGAACCCGTTGGAGTGCCATATGTTGCAATTTTTCCCCTTGATGCTTGAAAGAAGCCAACTGGACTATCATTCATCATGATTCAGAACTAGCTATTTTGTAAATTATTCAAGATTAAACCCACAAAATGTGCCGGGAATCCGAACTTCATCAATACGGCCTTAAGAAAGCACCACTCAACTCTGTCAAAAGCTTTCATCATATCAACTTTTATCACCATATTACTCCTTTCAGCCTTATGATCCATGAAGTGACATAAACTTGAGCCAATAACACATTATCAACTATATCTCGACCCGCTAAAAAAGCCGATTACTCCTCAAAAATTAACTTAGGCAAAACAAGTTTCAATTTTTTTGTTCAGAACTTTAGTAAATACGGAAATCCTTGTAATCGTATTTGCGGCTTCCGCAATTAAAAAAAAGAATCAAATAAAACCAAAGTTCACCATAGTTAGAAGAAATCAAGATTAAAACCACAATACAAAAGTCAAATGCTTAGAAAAGAACAAAAATCATATAATCGTCATCCGAGGGGAACAAGACACCAATCTGAGGTTTTATTGCTGGAACTGCCTTGCGGGTTTCCGTCATTATTAAATTACCCATCAACAAAACATGATAACCCGATTTCAGGAAACTCCCAAATTTTTGCCTTTCCTTCTTGCAAAAATCCGTCAAGAGATTGTTAGAGTTCAATCGAAAATAATAAAAATAATAATGGTAAAAACACAATCGACTTAGCAAATGAGGGAACGAAAATAGATTCGGAGGGTAAACCTAATTTTGCTGGCCTTGTTCCCGGGAAAGAGAGATTTTAGATAAATTGAATAAATTGAATTCTATAGAGAGATTCGGAGGTGCGTTTGATTATGAACCATTACAA